GATACTAACCACTGGGAGCGATGACGGCATGGAGCTCATGGAACATCAATCAGCATTGCCAATTCCAACAGAATGTCCGAGAGATATTATTGATAAGTTACAAAGAAGCTATATAGGAGCTTACAAATATTAGTATGATAATTTGTAATTGGCTACTAAGAGCCTTAGTTCAAACAGAACCCTTCCTAGAAGGTGGCTGCGTAGATTAGGTGCTCTTCAAAAGAATTATATTTGTATTTGAGATTTGAAAGTTCTATTAATAAAATAAAAGGCTCTAAGCGTTGAATTTTATTTATGAATTGTCTTAGTTACTTAATAGTTAATACTTTGAAATTATATTAAATAAATTATAACTCTATTATAAATTTATAATTACTAGAATATTTCATTACAAGTCTTTTGTTTTAATATTTTATAATTCTTTACTTAGTTTTCTAATTTTCATTTTAACATAGTAAAATTTAAGTTTATTAAATAAGTCAAAAATCTAGCCATTGCAAACTTTAAAAACATAGTAAATTTCAAAAAACTAGATATTTTTTTTAAAAAAAATTACACTTAAGGCCCACGAACCCGTCTCATCTCGTTCCGTTCCGTCCTGTCCCATCCCGTCCCATCCCGTTTGTTAGCGGGACGGGATGGGACGAACGTTTCGTCCCGTTTGTCCCATCCCGTTTCGTCCCGTCCCGCCTCCATCCCGCTTAAATGTTGTCTCGTCCCGTTAATTTGGTCCCGTCCCGTTGGACAGCCATAGTTCGCGTAGAGCAACCCCCCAGTTCTCCGCGTTCGCGTCCCTTACCTCGCGTTCGCATATAACAATTTCACCCCGACCAACTTTCCCTTTCGCGATCGTGTGATAGGCTTCATGATAACGAAGCACAGAGGGCCTGTGCATCAGAAACAACAGTTTTGCAATTTTTCTTAAGTTCAAAAACCTTCCGAGACCTATCCGAAACTCACCCGAGCCCTTGAGGCTCAAAACCAAACATGTACACTACCTCAAAAACACCCTACGGACTTGCTTGTGCGATCAAATCGCCAAAATAACATCAACAATTATGAATTTAGCATCAAAATCATGAAATCACCTAAGAACTTCAAAATTTTCCAATTTTCTCAAATATGGTCCGATTCACGTCATTTTAAGTCCGTTTCTTACCAAATTTCACAGACTCATCTTAAATCACATATAAGACATGTACCGAGCTCCGAAACAAAAATACGGGTCTGATACCATCGAATTTTAAACACATTTCATTTCCAAAAACTCATAAATATTTCAGAAAATATTTTTCTTCAAAAATTCATTTCTCGGGCTTGGGACCTCGGAATATGATTTCCGGCATATGCCCAAGTCCTATATTTTCCTACGGACCCTCCGGGACCGTCAAATTACGGGTCCGAGTCCGTTTACCCAAAATGTTGGCCGAAGTCAACTTAAATTCATTTTAAAATCAAAATTCATTATTTTCACAGATTTTCACATATTGGCTTTTCGTCTATGCGGGACTACTCACACAAATCGAGGTGATGCTGAAAGTATATTTTATGGCCTCAGAACGCAGAATTTATTTATAAAACAAGTGATGACGGTCATCACAATAGTTCTTTAAAAAAATATAAATAGATTTGAATAAATTGAATTTCTTTTAAAATAAATGTAACATATAGGGTACACGTCTATGGTTATCCAGATAACAAAAAAGAGTTTAAAAATCGAATAAAAGTTTGCTTACATATATAATGAAGTAAACCTACATGCTGGAGAAAGAAACATCACTCAAAAATCAGTCAATATTAAAAAAAATTATTTTTTCCTTTTTGAAAAACGTTTGTTTGAAGAGTCAATATGTATAAATGGACATCAAACAAATAACAATGAAAAACCTATCATTAATTTTAATTTAGCACCTACTAGAAATTGAAGAGTATAGGCTGAAACCTCTTCATTTAGTTGCAGTCAAGCCAACATTGCAAGGGTTTAATATTTTTTGGTTGAAGAATATTAGTTTTGAATCACTAGATTATGTAAAAATTTATTTTTCTCAAATTCAACAAGAGGGACATCGGTTTCTAATTAATAGTTTCTATAGCAATTTTCATGTGTAAAAAAAGTATATTTTAAAAAAAATCGATATGATATAAAATATTTTTTTAAAATGTAAACAAATTATTTCAAAATGGAATTATCTTTTAAAATATTATGTAATTTTAAAAATAAAAGGATAAGATATTTTTGAATTTTAATAGAATTTTTAAATTATTATAATATAAGTCACATCATGGATAAAATTAAGAAACCAAAATCTTATGAAATATTTACATAAATATCTGGCCAGATTTATTGTTTACTTTTTATAGCTAATATCCATAGATGATATACTGACAACAAACGATTATACACATATTATATATGGATTATATATAAATTATACATTATTCAATTTTTTCATTTAAGTGGTAAGGCGAGCACTTATTTTGGTTGATTAGATAAAGACAAAAGAAAAATATGAAGAAATTCAACTAAAGACTAAAAATATAAATAGAGTTCTTATGTAGACAATTTCTATTTAAACACGTCCTTTTATAGAGAAATAAATTATTTTTTGTAAATAAAAAAGAAAAAAGAAAGACATAAAAAATAAGATAAAAGAAAATAAATATAGAGAAAAATGTATAAGAAATCTAAAAACCAGAAATAAGAGATGAAAACGAATTTCTTCTTCTGTTTCATCTATGTTAAGTATAAAAAATTTGGAAGTTGATATCATCGATTTTAAATATTTTTTTGAACTCAAATACATAGATTATAAGACAAGGATATCTTAGAATATATATTTTTTTTAATTTACATTGTGTCTCGTTTTTAAAAAATTATTATTACTAACAAATTGATATGATATCTGAATCTGAATATAAATGCAATTTGAGTAGTTTGCATTGAGGTTAAGCTAAGTATGATGTCAAGAAAAAACTATTTGGCAATTTCAAGGAAATATATGCAATGTTATATAATAAAAGTTAACTAATTTAACATTTAATGATTCAAAGGACAAAAAGTTTGTATATTATATATATAGGCAGAGGTAGATGTAGAGTGTTGACAACAGGTTCAACTGAACCAATAAATTTTCATGCTGAGCAAAAATTTATATGTAAAAAATTCTTAAAATTATAAAAATAGTAGATATGAACACATAACTCTGAAAATATAATGAGTTCAATGCCAAAACCTTAAAAATTGAATCCATAAAGTATACATCCTAGATCCACCTCTGTATATAGGGTATTCCAAATTCAAAATCTGTGGCTAGAGATATCGATAAACTCAAAACAACGTTATATTGAAATAAAATTTCACCGGCTAAAGTATCATTTAAATTCTTAAATAGCCAACTAAAGTGAATTTTAAATTAAGGATAATATCTTCACTTACATTATTATAAAGATAATATATACCTATATACATACATATATATATATATATATATATGTATTAAAAATATTTTTTAAAAGATAACAACATACCAAATAAGAGTTCAAGTCGTAATAAAACAGTCATGTCGTAACCAAAGAATCGTTCATATTGTGTCAACCTTTGTGCTTTGACATAAATACGAGTTATTATTTCACTTTTTGGCTATTTTTAGGTTCTAATAACACCAATGAGAATGATGCAAAAATAAAATTATCACTACGAGATTTGAGAAAATGTTAGTCTTTTTTCATGTACTGTTTCGTAATTAATATCTAACTGTTATTTAGAAGGTTTAAAATTTAAGGTTATTTACATATCATTCAAATAACACGGATATTTAATATGGTTAATGCCAAATATCAAAATGGAGTCATACTGGAGAAAAAATTTACTGCCTAAACAATTTTTAAAATTTTTAAATAGCCGACTAAAATGAGTTTTGAATTAAGGATAATATTTTTACTTACATTATTATAAAATAAATTATTATTTAAAAGTAATGTTTTAGAAACTGAAATTTTAAAATAGAAATAATTTTTGAAAGATATTAACACACAAAATAAGAGTTCAAGTAGTAATAAAAGAGTCAAGTCGTATCTAAAGAGTCATTCATAGTCTCAACATTTGTTTGTTTTGTCATAGATATGAGTTGTTATTTTGCTTCCCGACTAATTTTAGGATCCAATGACACCGGCGAGAATGGTATGAAAAAAGAAAAATAGAATTATATCTAGAATTTGAGAAATGGTTAATCTTTTTCATGTAGTGTTTCTTAATTAATATCCAATGATTATCTATATTTAATAGAGAAAATTTATGTTTTAAGATTATTTTCATATAATCCGAATAACTCAAATATATTACATGGTTAGTGTCGTCCACTCAATTGTTTAAGTTAAAAATAACCGGCACATGTATGATGTATGTATAATTAACATATAATATGTGTATAACCCTATATAATTAGTGTATAATTTATGTATACTAATTAGAAAATATCAACAATGAATCTAACAAGATATTTTTCTAAAGATCCCTAATTCTTTAAAGAAAATGCTTTTTACGCGAATATATGAGGAAAATGTCATTAAGGTACGTCTCCTCCACTGCTGATAGTGATTAATTAAGTAAGAACCAATTATTAAGTAGGAAAGAAATATTTCGTACTAAAATGGAAAATTGCTGGATAGGGAAACTGAAAAACTAGTCTCAATATACAATTGGAGGTATATATTAGGACCTACATGTAGTTCCAATTATGTATTGACTGGTTGAGAGGACGTTTCATAGGTTATATAGGACTTCATTCACATGCTTTGGTCTCCCCATATTTACACCAAAGTTGGTCCAACTAAGTCCTTTTTTCGACCTTATCTCTCAACTCTGCCTTCTTACTCGTACACTATATATAAGCTAGGTAACATACTTAGAAAAGACACACAAAAGAAAACCCTACAAAAGCCTTCAACCCTAGCATCAAAATATCAAAAGAAAAAATAAAATATTTTATTGTTTTATCATAATGGCAAATGCTAGAACCAATGGGAAGAAAAAGAACAAGATAGTGAATCTGAAAATAGTGGTGGAGAAGTTACAAAGGAGTCTTTCATTGGTGAAGAAACTTGCAGCAGAGTTTGATGCACGAACCATTCCGCGTTCATGCAACGTTCCAGAAGACGTTAAAGAAGGGCATTTTGCAGTGATTGCAGCTGATGAAGATGAGTTGAAGAAGAGATTTGTGGTGCCATTGAGTTGTTTAACACACCCTTCATTCTTGAGGCTATTGGAACAAGCTGCTGAGGAGTATGGTTTTGATCATGAAGGTGCAGTGACATTACCATGCAGGCCAAGTGAACTTGAGACAATCTTGGGAAATAATCAATCAAGATTAGATAACAATAATGGTGTTAATAGGAGTTCAAGTATGGTGAAAAGTTGTTAAAAAAATGCATGGAGCAGTAAACAAGCTAAAGATATTTTAGCTGAATTTGCGCCTTTCAGTCTCCCTCAGAACTTCGATTAACTCATTTTATTGAGCCTCTATCTTCGGGTTGGTTTTCTTGAATGCAAATGCATGTTGTAGATCTCTTGTTCTTGATTGTTAGACGAGGACCCGTCTAGAGAGAAAATAGATCCTGGCCTTAAGATGGTAGCTTCTATTTCATGATTGTCCCAAGTTACAACTTCAATTTAGTAATATATATTTTTTGTAGGCTATCAAATTTGGCTCAAGCTCAAATGACCCGCCCAACTTGCTCAAGGTTGGGCTGGTTATTAACCCGTCAATGTAAAAATTACATGGGGCGCCTTATTTGGTCGCTCCATTTAACGTATACCCACTTTTTCAAATAGTTTTAACTTGTACCCACTTTTTAAACAACTTTAGATTCTTTCTCTTCCTCCTTCTCCTCCTTCTCCTCCTTCGTTTTCTTCTTCTCCTCCTCCTCCTCCTCCTCTTCCTCCTCCTTCTTCGGATGGCAATGATTTTATATGGTGGTTGTGAACATATTTTAATGTAGTTTATGATGTTTTACAATGGTGAGCTGTTATGATGCTTTATGTTTTACTACTGCTTAAGGTTTCTTCTTCTTCTTCTTCTTCTTTTTTTAAAATGCAAAATGGGTTCATTAGACTTATTGTTGTTTTGAGAAAATTGATGATTGGGGTTTGTTCCTGATGATATTTGGAGGTTATGTTTCAAATTTGAGCTCATTTGGAGTAGATTTAGGTATTAAATCGTATATTGGATTGTTATAATTCGAAGAACAAATCTATGTTTCTAGGCAATTTGCACTTCAGACCTATTTGATCTTATGTGCATAAAAATGTTGGTTGCACTTCAAATCTTTTGGCTTTAAGTGCATTTGAAGTGCAATTTTTCACTTCAGACTTATTGACCTTAAGTGTAGCAAAACGTTTGTTGCACTTCAGACCTTTTGGCCTTAAGTGCATCTGAAGTACAATTTTTCACTTCAGACTTATTGGCTTTAAGTGTATGAAACCATTGGTTACACTTCAGACCTATTTGGCCTTAAGTGCATCCGAAGTGCAAATTTTCACTTCACACTTATTGGCCTCAATTAGTGAATGAAAACGTTTGTTGCACTTCTGCCTTTTTGGCCTTAAGTGCATCTGAAGTACAATTTTTCACTTAAGACTCATTGGCCTTAATTGCATCTGAAGTGTAATTTTTCACTTCAGACTTATTAGCCTTAAGTGCATGAAACCATTAGTAGCACTTAAAATCTTTTTTGCCTTAAGTGCATTTGAAGTGCAATTTTTTCACTTCAGACTAATCTTTTTTAACTTCAGATCCATTAAGTCTAAAGTTGATCGTAAAGTGGGTACAGTTGCAAACTTTTTCGCAAAGTGAGTATAGGTTCAATTGTGACCCCAAAACCGAGTATAGATGCAAAAGCCCCGTCATATAATTTCTCCTTTTTCTACCTTACCGTGCATATTTTTGGATTTCTCAAGATGATTTGAAAGATAAAAAAATTGTATATCAAAATAGTTTCATATTCCAAATCTCTGTTGAAAACGTTCAGTGAGATCATTTTGAACTATAGTAATAACTACAACCACCGAAAAATAAAGTTTATCCAGTTAGATTAGTAATTTAATACTTAACGGAGAATATTACTTCAAAAGCTGTTAATATCTAGAAAGCAATTAATATTATATAACTAGTTAACTTACCCACGCTTCACACAGTTATCAAAGAAAATTAAAATAAGGTTAATAATATATTATTATTAAAATTTATAATTTAAAAACTTATCTTTGTACAAAGAATTTGCTTAAAAGAGAGAAATATAATCTGTAAACCCATAGTTTTGAAATATCCCATGCAGTAGAAATTTCAAAGTCAACCTTAAGATTAATTAAAATATATTGCTATATCTTGATAGTCTCGTACAAATAAATAATTTTTCATTTTGTCAAAACTTTGAACAATGACAATAAATGGTAGAAGAAAAATTGCAAAATTCAATCCAATTATTTGTAAGAGATTAGTTAACATATTAAAATTTTGTAATAGCAAAGTAAGTTTGATCAAATCTATTCTATATGTCAAGAGCATTCAAATTATCGAAAAATGATTCATTTTTTCTTTTATCATCTTATCGGTCTGATTAATTCAACTTCTCATTATACAAGCTCATTGGTTACATGAAAAACTATAAATAAATCTACGTTAACAATTGAATTGACGGCTCATATACCTCAAAACCAAAACAAAAATAGAATATAAAGAAAGAAGAATTTCTTCCACAGAAGAGAAGGCATGAAGATGAAGTCAAATTACCAAAGAAACATACTGTAGGAAACTGCAAATGTGATACTGTAACGACCCAAAGGGGTCATCACCTGTTTTCTTATTGATTCTGTGTTTTCGAAGTCTTAAAAACCTCATTTAGAATTGCCTCGATTTGCGTGTACAGTCCGGGCACGTAGCCGGAAAGCTTAAAGATGAAATTTTGTGAAAAATGCTAAGTTTTGATGTTAAAATGAATAAGTTTGACTTTGGTCAATATTTTGGGCAAACGGATCCGAACCCGTAATTTGACGGTCCCGGAGGGTCCGTAGGAAAATATGGGACGTGAGCATATGTCCGGAATCAAATTCCGAGGTCCCAAGCCCGAGAAATGAATTTTTAAGTAAAATTGTTTTCTGAAAATATTTAAGGAAATTGGAAATGAAATCTGATTAGAAAGCGATGGTATCATCGGGCCCGTATTTTGGTTTCGGCACCCGGTACAGGTCTTATATATGTTTTAAGTTCTTCCTATAAAATTTGGTTGAAATCGGACGTCGTCTGATGTGTTTCGGACTTAAATTTCTAAATTGGAAACTTGATGAAGTTTGAGGAAAAATTCTTGATTTTGAGGTTTGATTCATTGATTTTGAGGTTATTTAGGCGATTTGATCGCACGAATAAGTTTGTATGACGTTGTTGAGTTAGTGCCTGTGTTTGGTTAGGAGCCCCGAGGGCTCGGAAGTGTTTCGGAGGTGTTTCGAAATGGTTTTTGGCTTTAGAAGTGTTGCAGATTTTTTGATGTTGTGCCCAGGGATTTTGTTCTTCGCGTTCGCGTGGTCTTACTCGTGAACGCGTAAGGCAAAGATCCCAGGTGCCCAGTTTCTTCTTTACGAACGCGGAGGTTGAGACGCGAACGCGAAGCTCAGGGGGGAGACCCTTCGCGAACGCGTAGGGTTCAAGGAAAAGGCCACCAGTTTGTTCTACGCGAACGCGAGGGCTCGAGGTGCTAAAGCATCACGAACGCAAGCCCAGTGTCGCGAACGTGAAGGTCTTCAGACCTGACTCATCACGAACGCGTTGAGCTTATCGCGAACGCGAAGAAGGATTTTGCCCAGTTATTTTAAAGTCCCAAAACATAATCCATTACGGGATTTCACCAAAAATTTACAAACTCTTTCTTCTCCAAAGTCCTAGGGCGACTTTTAAAGCATTCTTTCACCATAAACTCTTGGGTTAGTAATCTTTAACTTATTTCTTTCCATTTTCATCAACATCTATTGAATTTCTAGGCTTAAAACATGTAATTAAAGGTAGAAATTAGGGAATTGGGTAGAGTTAGGGCTTTTTAATTAATTGTGATTTAGACCTCGTTTTGGGGTAGAATTCTGAAAATAATTATATATTCGGGCTCGTGGATGAATGAGTTATCGGATTTTGGTTCGAACCTAGTGTTTTGACCAAGCGGGCCCGGGTCGATTTTTGGAATTTTGGGAAGAATACTTGGGAAGCTATAATTAGACATTGGATTCGAATTGTTTAGTATTTATTGATGTTATGAAGTCATTTGTGTATATATACAATCGATTTGGAGCCGAATCGAGAGGAAAAGCGGTAATTGAGGATTGAATTAGCCGTGGAAGTTTGAGGCAAGTGTTTGGTCTAATCTTAGCTTGAGGGATTAGGAGTTGAGTCCTATTTGCTATGTGATAATTGTTGAGTACGACGTATAGGCATGGTGACGAGTATCTATACGTTGGTGTTTAGCATGACCGTGAGTCTTTATGTTGTGAATATCCTGATTTTGTTGTGTCTTTCATGCCTTAGTGATGATATCTTTATGTTGTGAAAAGCTTGTGAAAGAAATTATGATCTTTGAACTTCGAGGAGCATTGGCTCGAGTTATATTACAAAGAGTGAAAGTATATGAGATGATTGAACCCTTTGGAGCATTGGCTCAAATGATAAAGTGAGTTATGAAATAAAAGTGAAAGAAAGAGAAAGAGTTATTAAATTGTTCCCTTGCCGGGATGCTGAGATTATTGATATTGTTCCCTTGCCGGAATGCTGAGATTATTGATATTGTTCCCTTGCCGGGATTTAACTGTTTAATTGTGTTCCCTTTCCGAGATTTCTATTGTTATTTGTTTACTCCCTTGCCCCTTTGTCTGTGATTGTTGTTTAGGTGAGGAAGAGCGTTAAAGCACGAAGGGTGATGCCGTGCATTGTTTGCTATGGTGAAGAAAGAGTGTAAAGCACGAAGGGTGATATTGTGCCGTACGATGTACCATTCCGTACTGATTATCATTGACTATATGGTGAGGAAAAAGAGTAAAAACATGAAGGGTGATGCCGTGTATACTTTTGTTATAAAAAATATTGTTTGGTGAGGATGAGATTAAAAACACGAAAGGTGATGCCGTGCACGTTGTTATTATATGATTGATTTGGTGAGAACGAGAGTAAAAGCACGAAGGGTGATGCCGTGCAAATTGTTGATTTCTGATTCTTGATGATATTCTAGTTATGTTGTTACTTTCCTTACCTGATGCTTTCTATTCGGAATCATTATTTCCCCTACAGCATGTTTTCCCTTCCCACATTTACTGGTTATTTCTGCATTTTCCTTTCCGCTGTATATATTTAAATTGCACATGTTTATTTGGTAGTCTGGTCCTAGCCTCGTCACTACTTCGCCGAGGTTAGGCTAGACACTTACCAGCACATGAGGTCGGTTGTGCTGATACTACACTCTGCACTGTGTGCAGATCCCGGAGCAGCTTATGGACAGTAGTTGGAGGGCTTCCTTCAGTCCACCGGAGACCCAAGGTAGACCTGCAAGCGTTCGCGGGTCCTGGCGTCTCCCTCTATCTCTATTCCCTATTTCATTTTCTTTCGTTCAGAAATAG